GGGGCACTGACCTCGGCCGCGCGGCCTTGGTGGGGGGGGGTCAATGACCTCGGTCGCGCGACTGCGGTGAAGTCACTGACCTCGGCCGCGCGACCGCAGCGGTGTTACTGACTTCGGTCACGTGATTATGGTATATATATATATATATACATATATGCGTATGTGTGTGTATTATATATAGATATAGAATATTACATATAATATATATAATATTCTCTTTTTTACCCTTTTCCCTGACTTTAGTCACGTGTTGTTTTTTCACTTCTCTCTCTCACTATTTTTTGAGTTTGATTTTCACGCGTTATTTCTGACATTTCTTATATGTGTATTATATATGGTTTATAAGACGTATATACTATCTGTCATCGCGGTGACAGGTTGTGTTCACTGACAACACGTTAAATAAAAATAACAATAGCGTGCGCGTAGCGCGCGCCTGTGTTGTGCTAGTTTTCAAAAAAAAGCAAATAAAATTGTCTCTGAAACGACCAAGTGTTCCCAAATGGCCTGTATATGCTGCACCTCTTGTGTGTCTATAGCCACATACTGTGATTGCATTTTTAAGAGAGAGGTATCTAATTACGTGTATCTACGTAATATGATTATATTGCGCACTCACCGCAGCGCGTTGCAATAGAGCCGCGGCTGCGCACTGTCGGAAAACGGCTCTCCTGCCATTTTCGCTACGTGAAAATCCATCGTAAAGTAAGCCGACAGTGCGGGCAATATTACGGACAGAATTTGCTTTCTGTCGATATCCATGTGAACGTCGAGAGTACGAGATCAGAATGTCTATTGTGCAAATTAGAATTTGTTTAACAAAGGAAAAAAGACTAGATATGGCAAAATAAGACAGTGCAGGTGTTTTCTCGTTTTTGTTTAAACTTCGAATAAACCAATGCTCATTTATTTTTGCTCCTTTTTCTCTGACAAGTAGAAGGGAACGACGTTGGTTCAAACGACAAAACTTGTCTGACTATGTCTCGCACTCACCACTGTGGGCAGTGCAAGATCCGAATTTCAATCTTCTCCGGAATATTAACGATATTTTTTATTTGTTATTTTTTTACTTTTCTGTCTTAAAATAAGGAGATTTGAAAACTATTTCTTTGAAATTTCAGAGATATGTACTAAAAGTCTGATATATTTTCATTGTGTGTGATCGAATTTCTGTAATGCGATTGTCGTAAATGAAGTATTGACGGCAAGTTAAAAGTATCCCGTTTAATCAAATTCGGACGTCAGAAAATTGCAATCAAACTTTACGAGTTCAACCAAAGAAAAGGATAGAGGACTGCGTTTAATAAGTCATTACCGTATCCCATAAGTGTGCAATTTCACCTAGCGAAGGGGACTTTCGGCAAGGCGGTTGGCAACATGCCTCATCCACTTCTACTCGGTGACAGTTTCACCAACTCCGGTCAACTTGATCGGTCGATTAAGCGTCAACAACTATTGGTCGAATCTTCTGATCGACTGTCGCGATTGGTCGATTTCAGCGGAACAATCGACCGATTGAGTGAATCAACGTTGGTGAAACTGGACCTCTGGCTTACTCTCCGTAATTTACGGAGTTTTCGCAATCGCCACGCGGAATCGCGCGTAAAAACTCGTGAACTGCGTTCACGATCGATTGGGCCCGGGCCGATGCGGCTGATGAAACTGAGTGCAACGCGATAGGCGATCTGTTGCAGTGTCTCGCTAATCGTGTAATTTGCGTCGCGGCTTTGTGAAAAGCGATCGTCGTCGAAACGCCGATGGTCGTCGCCGCGTGTGTTTCCTTCTGAAAGATGTGCCATCGACGAAGACATCGTCTTGCGCGAGGGAACGTAATAATTGACGAAGAGTCGAAAAAATTTAACGAGACCTCGCGAAAATTCGATCGCGCACGCAACAATAAAATCGGTTTATGAGCAAATTGTATTCGTAAGAGGACATCCCTCCTGCTCTAGAAGTAAGTGAAACACCGATGGATGTTCGCGGGTAAATTGCGACGGAATTCTAATTCAGTTATTGTCAACTGTACCTTTGCGTTCCGAAGTTTTCGAGAACTCGCGATTGTAGAATTTAAAACTCCGGGTTTGCTAGTTTTCATCAGCGATCCTAACATTCCGTTGAAACACACGTTTGACCCACACGTGAAAGTTTCCTCGGATATTTTTCTTTCTCACCGCTAAACTGCGATCATGTGATTGGCTGTCGCAAGTTATCGCAACATATTGCGAAAGAACCAACAATGTTATTTTGTGGAAAAGTCCATTTATCTGAAAACGCGCGAAAAATCATCCAAATCTTGAGAACTGTGTTGCAAAAATACTTTTTCAAATATTTTAACGTTAGAGTAGCACAATTTTAAATAAAACGCGTAAATTTATATATATAAAATAAGATTATTTATTCGGACAAATTAAATTATTGCAAAGTCACTCTTCCTCTAAATCTTTGTCAAATATTAGAATTACAAAAATTTGTTTCTATATAATCTCAATTGTATTATAATATTATAATTCTACATGTACATATAATTATATGTAATATTATAATTCTATTATTTGTTGATACATCGACAGTTTGTCGAGTTCGTTTGTTGACGCATTCGAGGCACGACACTATTTCTACTTGGCATTGCTGGTTGAAATTCGATCTATTCGATTAATCGATATTTCTCGTAACAGTTAAGAAATCATCAAGCAATGGTGCTCATTTATTTGTTTTAAGGATTTAAATGTGTTTCATTTTCTATTGTTATTTATGTAACCGATTAAATATGCAACAGTGCAGCTTACAATTATTTATAAAGTTAATATTAATTAAAACCTGTAAAAATTGAGAATTTTTTGTTAGCTAAAATAAACTAATTTGAATTTCTCCAAATTCAAGTTGACAATGCGCACAACATGTAAAATTAGCGTAACATTTCAATAAATGTTTTAACAAAACTTTTTTGCAGAAGCAGTTCAAGAAGCGAATTATTACACTAAAACTTTTCTCTTAGGAGTTTTTTTATATTGAATAAAACATACATTTTTTTGACATCATGGACGATGATATCGATGATAAAGACGATACAAAGAGGTAAGAGAATATTTACAATTTATTATTCTGATAAATATTAAAAAATCATAAATGTTTGACTTGTAGAAAATCGCGTAATCTTAGCGAAAAGAAGCGCAGAGATCAGTTTAACATGCTTGTGAACGAGCTCGGCAGCATGGTCAGTGCCAACACGCGAAAAATGGACAAATCCACAGTATTAAAATCGACAATTCTATTTCTAAAAAATCACAATGGTATGCAGTCTTACTTTAACATTTATACTTACGTATAAACAAAATTTTTTTATCAAGAAAAAATTAAGATCAGAAAAAAGAGCAGAAAAAGAATAAGAATTTTTTAAATAAACTTTTAGAGATAGCAGTTAGGTCTAGAGTCCACGAGATCCAAGAAGACTGGAAGCCATCGTTTCTGTCTAACGAAGAATTTACTCATCTTATACTGGAGGTAAAATTGTCTAATTTATAGAAGTCTAAAAAACTTGTTACTATAATGAATATAAAATATTTTTTTTTGTCTAGGCGTTGGACGGATTCATCATGGTTTTTTCGTCAAACGGACATATCTATTACGTCTCCGAAAGTGTCACGTCTCTGCTTGGATATCTTCCGAACGAATTAGAGAACACGACCATTTACGACATAACGTATCAAGAAGATCAGCCGCACTTGTACAACGTTCTGCTGAACGTTGGAACCACACAAGACAGACACATTGTAAAAAAAGGTAAATTCTCCTAACGATTGTTAGATAAACTTTGGCAGTTGGTCTTCGCGACTCAACGCAATCTCTTATCGACAGAGGATCAAATATCCTTCACGTGCCACATCAAAAGAGGCGGACTCAATTTTCGGGAGGATTTCTTCTACGAACTCGTTCAGTTTACCGGATATTTTCGTGAGTGAAATAGTTTTTTTTTATTGTTCTGTGAGACATTTCAAAACTTCGCAACATGTTTTATACTTTGAAACCAAATATTGTCGCGAATGATTATTGAAAATCAAATGTTGTCTAATAATAATTATAGGTTCTGCTGTGGATAGCGACGTTGACAATCTACTGCCAAATCAAAAATTTAGTAACACCAGCGGATCAGATAACAAGTATACCGTCCCCTAAGTACGAAATGTAAAATTGCGTCGCGCGTTTGCACTCACGTTTAAATTTGCAGATTGGTCTTCGTGGGTACGGGACGTCTTCAAACTCCCCAACTGATTCGCGAGTTGTCCGTGACGGACAACGCCAAGTCGGAATTCACGTCTCGCCACAGTCTCGAATGGAAATTCCTGTTTCTGGATCACAGAGCGCCGCCCATCATCGGATATCTACCTTTCGAAGTGCTAGGCACTTCTGGGTACGATTACTATCACGTGGACGATTTAGACAATGTAGTTACGTGCCACGAATCACGTGCGTATTGAAGCAAATCAGGATCGTAACTTGCAACACGAGAAACTTAATTAAAAACTCGATCATCGCTACACTTTAGTTATGCAGAAGGGCGAGGGAACGTCCTGCTACTACAGATTTCTCACAAAAGGCCAGCAGTGGATCTGGTTGCAGACGAGATTCTACATCACGTACAATCAGTGGAACTCCAAACCCGAGTTCATCGTGTGCACGCATTACGTGGTCAGTTACGTCGACGTGATGAAGGAATTGCGCGCGGAATCGGGCGGTTACGATGACAAAACGCAAAATCAGGATGTTTTACTGCCCGTAAAACAAGTAAGATGATAAACGATATGCAAAACAAACAATCACATGCGTACGTACACACGCAAGAAACTTAAGTCAAATTTTGTAATTAAAAAAATATCGTAATTAATTGTATCTAATATCATTAAACCTCTCATTGAAAAATATTTTTGTTTTGCGAACACAATGTTCTGTAGATGACGACGTCTTGTCAAACACCACTGACGCAATGGTCAAACAAATCGTCGAAGACATCCAAATCGGTGACGGTTCCTTCAAATATTCGGTATCGCGGTGACGGTTCCAACACGTCTTCGGTGTCCGTTTCGTTGCGAAGTTCTCTGCAGTCGCCGATAACACACGGATCGCGATCAAACGCGGCTTCCGCGAGCAGTTCGGTCGTGTCAAAGCCGATAGCATCAGTGGACAGCAGACAGCAGCAACAACAAACGCAACAGCAGCCTCAGCCGCAACAGCAGCAACAACAACAGCCACAACAACAATTGGACATCAACCAGTCGTGTATCAATTTCATGGATTCCTCGCAATATGCAACGGTTAATTTACAATCGGTCGTTACGGCGGGATTCGCGACACCTGCCACTCCCATTCTCTCGACTGTGCCCACTCACGAGGTAAAATGAAAATAACTAGCAATCAATAATTCACAAATAATATTTTTAACGGGTAAACAATATGTATTTTATGTTTTTTGTGTTACTTCTGTTTATTTCAGATGCTGCAGCAAGGCTTGGTGATGACTCCCACGCAGAACCAAATACAGGACGAATTGCAACGGAAACACGAGGAGCTTCAGCAGCTGATTGTTCATCAGCAAGAAGAATTGAGAAGAGTCTCGGAACAATTGTTTATCGCTCGATACGGGATTCTCACGCCATTACTCAACGTACGAAAAATCACATATTTATTAATTTGCGGCAATACGTGTCATTGATGACACAAATCGTGTGTCTGTGTGTTTTAGGCGGGTATACCGTACAATCCATCAAATCCATCGTGTCAACAGGCGAACAGGTGCAATACCAACAGCACCAACGTGCAGGGCGTGAACGTGCTTCCCATACCGATCACCGTGCCAGTGCCTATAGTGTCCACGGAACTGTTCTCGCACCCCCTGCAAGTGAGCCCGGGCTCGACCCACGGTAATGGCAATGTAGGTGCCATAATTCCGTCCCAACAACAGCCACAACAGATGCAACAGCAACAGCAGCAACGTCTGTCGCAGCAGGAAGACTCGAGCAATCCCGAGCTCGTGTCCTTCCAGATTTGTCCGCAGCAAGCCGAAATGATGTACGGCAACATCGAGCCGTCCTCAAATCAGCAACAAAGACCCGCGCAAAACTGAAAACACCTCGCATTTGTCTGTTTTATCAGAGAGAAGTAAGAATTGAGGAACTTTCTTCTTCCAAAACTCTCTTACTTTGTGGCAGTAAGGAAATTGCAAGACAATATACTTGTCGCCGTATAATTGCGCGTTATTCCACACTTGCGGAAGAATCGAGCGACATATCTGTGTTACAAGTAAAATGCTCTAAGAAATCGCGATAATAAAGTGCCGTTTGTGATGTAATTGATATTGCATAAACTATCAGATATAACGTCTGCGTTTCAACAGTGTTCAATTTCTAACATATCTTTCCTCGGTGTCATTATGTTCGATCGTCGAATATTCTAGCTATCTATTATCTGCAATCGATAAAATGCAAAATTACATCCAGAAAGTATAATTTATATCTTTGTAATATGAGAAATTTCTGAACCAGAATTTACTGTGCAGAGGAAAATGCAGTGACAAAATGTATTTTATAGATATATGTATATTGTGTATAAAATTATAGAAAAAATTTTCTATATTGTCACACACTCACACACATACACATAAGTTCGGAAAGGGGACCAACTCCGCATTTTCCGGAACAGGGTATATATATATATATATTCACATTATTTATATGGTGGTAAAGAAAGTAATATATATTTTGTTGTACGTGTACACACACACACACACACACATGTGTATAATGTTACCATTTTTATACATATCTGTATAATTGTAATTACGAATATATGTTAGATTGTTATGATATTTCATAATTGTTGCTCTTCTCGATGACGATGAAAATATCATGAGTACGTATGTAAGACAAAAAACATTCCGATAAACAAAATCACGATGTATAAAAATATGTTCAAATTGATGTGATAATAATGTTCTTTAAGTAAACAATGGAGAATATAAAATACAAATACAAATTTTGTGACAGTAGATATTGAATACTAATAAATAAATAATTTTTGGCAAAAAAACTTAATTTTAATAATTTTTAGTATTTGTACGATACGTGTAACATATGTATGTTTGAAGATAATAATCAAGTTTTTGGAGAAATTTGAGAAATATATCTGTAATTTTACAATGCTGCGCATAATGTTGAGTAAGTGGTTTTCTGTTTTTGCCGGTAACTGTGTAAATTTGCTACTTTTAATAAAATGAAAAAACAAATCATCAAGGACAAAAAGCGTTTCCGATGTATATTTATACATACAGTGTTTATTTAATACACTTGAGAAAGATTACAAAGTTGTTTTATTACCTCCTCCACAAAAATAATAATCTATATTATTATGTGTATTACTTAAAAAAAAGAAATATCAAATTTTTTTTTAATATTTCTTTAAATATTAAACAATTTAATTTAATATTAATAAAAAAAGAAATCAAATTCTTTAAATAGTTATATAAAATCTGTAATAACAATAAAATATATGTACGTGCATATCTAATTAAAAAATGAGTTATATAACATGGGGAACATATAAAAAGATATATATATATATATATATATATATAAAATTACATATATAATTTTAATGCTGCAATTTTCTCAGAGCGTCCGTTAAAATCCGCACCTCTTGATTCACAATATCAACAAGAGCCTCCACTTGTTGTTTGCTATCGATGATGCTGATGCTTTGCGTGTAAGGATCGTATCTGACGCCGAATTTTCTCGGTATGGTTTGGGCGAATTTCCTAAAATTAACAAATCAGTCTCATATTTTTTCGCATTTGTTTCGTCTATTTTTAACCACACTATTCCCGTTCAAAGTTATCAACTCATTGTGGTTACATTTTTTACTTGCGTCGAAGATATTGCCAATATCGCGCCTAATGAGAAAATGCAAGTGTCGCGCGATAACATATCTCTGTTCGACACATATATTTAACTTTTACTCACGTCATTTTCTCTTGCGCGTCCGCGAAGTCCTCGGCAACGTAATACACCGGTTGATACTCCGTTATCGGATATGTTTGCAAGGCAGTTTTTTGTGGATCAAACGGCCGAAGTTCCGGTTTGTCGCTCAAACAGTATTCCAATTCGCCAAAGGACGAAAGCAAACCGGCACCGTACGCCTTCAACTCACCATTTTGCCGACATAAACCGTATTCTACCGTGAACCAGTAGCACTGTGACAAAGAGAGTCGCAAGTGAAATTTTTAATAATTTAATAGTAGTTTTTATTTAATTAGATAAAGAATTTTAACTGCGGGGACATGACTAGGTGAGTGGGGACTCATTCGGTCATTGCACGTGTCCCCAGAGTGGTGAGAAGGAGTGTGGCTCTCCTTTTCATTGCACAACAGGGCATCCGGGCAAGTTCGACCTTTAAGGCCATCAAGGGATTTTAGTCGGTGCGAGTTCTACGCTTCCCTGCTCCTTTCCCGGGGAGTAGGGCGTGCATAAAGCATTTCTCCTCGTAAAAAAAAAAAAAACAAGAATTTCAACAAAAAGAGATATGTACCGTTGCCAGCTTTTCTATGTAATCGTCCGGAGCGCCAAGAGATGCCAGGCCGATAACTTGAGAGAATTGCGCAAACGACGGGTCGGCGAGAAGCGGCACGTGGCCCAGAATCTCGTGACACACGTCCGGCTCCGGTGTGTAAAGTGGCTTACTGCTGTGTCGTATGTACTGCGTGCTGTGAAACACTCTGAAAGCTAATCCAGCCAGAAAGTCACGCGAAGATAACAACCCTGCTACCGGACGGAGCGTAAAACCAGTAGAATCTAAAAAATTGAGAAGAAAAAAAAAATAAAAATACACATGTACAAATGTATAATTTTTGTCTGTCACCTTGACCAAGACAAATAATTTAAAACCAATATAAAATTATAAAAGTGACTGTTTGAAAATATTTTTTTTTTCGTTGCAAATAATTTTTCTATTTTCTTTCCCATCGTCGTAGAACTTTCCGCTCTTTTTTTATCACTCTCTGCTCTACGTTATCTTATCCTATACACACGCCTAAATTCATAGATAAATCCAAGTTTCTAACTTCAAATTTTCATTAGTCAGTATACAAATGTGGCAACAAACAAAACCCGTAAGTAAGATTCACCTAAACTATAAAAAACAATATATTGTCAAAGCGTTACCTTTAAGGAAATTGGATATGTCTTCGAGTTGAGGTATGTTGTCTTCTCGATAGCCACAGTTTTCAATGAGCAACGGGAAAACGTGATTGTGCTCCCGGCAAGCGTATTTCGGATAAAGTTTAGTCAAGTTACGAAACACTATGCCCCAAGTGGCTATTTCCTCGGGCGTGTAGTCCACTCGCGGAATTGGTTGCCCGCTAAAACAATTACGTGCATCATATATTTTTGTACAACATATCGCAAATGTCTTTGCAATTCTTTCTTAGTATCGCGAATTTTTATATTTACTGTTTGTAATAGTAAGCAATGTCGGCAAAATATTTCCTTCTTTCTCTGTAAACAGAATCTGTGAAACCAGGATGATCGCTATCGAGCTCAGAACCGTAAGATAGAATTTGATTGGCAAACTTGTCGAGGTCACGTATTCGTCTCGGAAACCACGGCACTGTGTTCATGTTATTCTTGTGATTCCTGGAAATATTAAATTTTTCGAAAACTTTATTCTTTTTTTCTAGTAAAATAAAATAAAACGTCACATGTATCAAAACTCATCTGAAAATTTAAATCATATTGCTGTTTTTTTTTTTTTTAATTTGAGCGACACCGGATTTGACATTGATTGATACATTTAATCTGTTAACACTGAAATCTTATATCAGTTGTTATTGTTGGTCGCGGATGTATGTTTCGACACACGTATGTTGACATTTCATCTTATCTCACTCAGCCTTTAACGATTTTCCGAGACGACATCATCTCTTGATATCGTCAATTGTTTATATTGTTAATTTGTGACTTTTTTAGTAGTTGAACATCAAAGAAATTTTTTACATTGTTATTAGAATAAAATTAAAATAAAAAAATTTTTTTCTAATTTAAATTTATATTATAAAATATCTCTACCTGGAAATGATCGAAAAGTAGTTGCATTCTTCTCGCAATGATTCAATTGCGGAAGCAATGTTGCCACTTGGCGCGCATTCGACCATGAATTCATAGCTGTTCGGTCGTCGAAGAGAACTTCTGGATTCGATGTGCAACAAATTCACTTTGTGTTTCTGGAATGAAAATTCGTTTTAAACACGTAGTTTTCAACACTTGTGTGTCAATTCTCGGCGAAAAATGTTTTGTCTTACAGCGAAAAGTTGAAGATATCTTCCCAATGATCCGATCTCGTCCTCCTCTTTGGGAGAGAAAATTAAGCAGGTGCTTTTGGTTGAATCTCTGCCCTCTTTTATGTAATTTCCGCCGTGGATAAGCTTCGGCTAAGAAATAATAATTTAACCAATTAAAACAACTGCTTTGAAACACTAATGTCAAGTTCATGTTGGTGAATCCAAAATCAACAAATAAAATTCTGGATAACAATGCAAAATAACGTGACGGCTCACTTAGTCGTTTTTGTTTTAAATTATCACACACAGAAACGTACCAACAACTCCGCTGTGTTCTCCATTCTACAACAAAGCGTCCGCTAAATTCTCAAATATATTCTCATCAACGAAATAAGGTACAAGGATAGCTGACACAGTAAAACTACGTGATCGGATCGAGTCTTTAGTCCATATATATGCCCGGAAGAGAACTCCCCTCTTGCCTTAAAATTCTACTCGTACACGTGTGTGTGAGTATTCGAATTGTAGAGAAATATCACTATGTCAGAGAGAGAAAAAGAGAGAAACACACTTCTAAGAAAATTGAAAAAATCAGTTCCACGTTAAGGTTTTTCTTGCTCTAACGTTCGTAATGTAAATACGTGTAATAATCACTTATATGCAAGAGAACGAGTGAACACGTTACCAATTCCTCCGTGTTTATATACAGAAAAAAAACATGCAATGTAATTCCCGAGTGTGATGTAAACCCACGAAAGTTTTGCATCATTTTAATTGAAGAGATCAATTTGGAAGTCACGGCCATTTTCTCCGTGCAATTTGCTCAACCTACTTCATCATTCGGTCACTCACGTCAGCGAGTGCAAGTGTCACATCCCCCAGAAAGTTAAGGAAGTTAAGTTAATCTGATAAATAAAAAAAACACACACACACACTCTCGATCTCGATGTTTGTCACAGAAAAAACTTGCGCAATAAAACCTATTTTATCAATGAACCTGCATTATGAAAGAAACGATCTTCTTTCGTCATGCTTCCGAGCACAAAGAAAGTTTTCGTTAGCGTTTTTCTGTTTGATACAAATTATACGCATCATGTACAAGGCGAGTATATGCCTGTACTTGTGCACGCAAAACATATGGAAAACAACATAATTGTAAAAAATTGTAAAAAAATCGTAAAAAAATTATATATTTTCAACACTTTGTGATGATAAAAAATCAAATAATTAATATTATTGTATAACAATTTGTACTAAAATATTGTAGAAAGATTAGAAGTAAAATAATTAGAAATATTATTACATAAATCATTTTATTGTTTTTACCGTGTCCGGAGGCGAGCTGCTAAGGAGCGAACAGTCGTCTTCTTTCATCTCAGATACCAGTCGATCCGTTTGCGCATACATTATGATGCTCGGGAATTCGCGAAAGGTGCGCGCGTAAAAGACCTTGACTTGACAAGTTCCAGAAATCTGTTCTGTGCCTGTACAAAGACGCGGAAGAACTGACGTTTAAAGTCATGCGTTTATCAGTTTTAGCAGGTTGTTAAAGAAAGAATCCTATTGGATTGCGACAGTATAATATTGATATCTTCACACCACCAGATACAAAAGCCAAGCCATAAGATATACGAGAACGGGTCGAAAGTTATCGTGCAACAGAATTACGCATCTCTGCGTGATTTACAAAATCGTTCATTGCACGAGCACGCATAAACTGCGTTGCAGTACATAATTAAATGAGAGTTGTTTTTTTACTTCTATTTCATCACACATGTAGTCTGTTTTATATTTTTTATCATATTTTATTATATTTTGTAAGGAAAACAATTTTGCAATGATATTCTACTTCTGAGAGACACACAAGTATATGTACAATATTTATATTTTTCGTCATTTTGCTTAGACTGTTGTTCAATTATTGTATTATGTTTTCCTCATTGTGCTTGCCTAATCGGCTATCAGCAGATAATACACTTATCTGACCTTTGCAAAAGTACCGACAGTTCTACTACATCATACCGATCAACCATTGTTACTGATTGGTAACAAGTTTTTATGCGGTAGCGCACATTATGAATATGTATATGTCATTTGTATACAAACATGCGCTTGTACACATAAACTGACTTGTTATATTATAAAAAACTTGTTAGGTTTACTTGTTAGTGTAAAATCAGAAATATAAATTCTCTTTTAATATATTTATTTTATTTCTTTATTTTGTTATTATAAAAAATCTGTTAGAATAAAAATATATAAATTCTCTTTCAATATTTCTCTTTATTTTAAGTTTTATTGTATTTGTTATGCTAAATCAGAAATGTATGCAATGTAATAGAAGGTTATTCATGTACTTATTACAGTAAACGATGAGTTTTTTTCGTAGAGCATTGCTCTCTTGCGCGGGTTTTCTTCTTGTTTTAGTAACTGCAGAAGATAATGGCGCGATTAGCAGTTCGCGTCATTTATTTTTGCGTCGACTGATGATTTGTGAGCAACACTGTAAACGAAACCAATAAAATATTTACATTAAATATGTACGATATACGTACGATAAACGATTAATCTTATCGTCGACAGTTTGACCCGCAGTATTTGTTCGGTCACGACTTAGGTTGTAGCGAGATGTGCAAAAATTATTAATATTTTGTTTTACCGATTTGTGAAAGCTCTTACGATGTGTAAGTGCGTCAGTGATTTGTGATAAAATGCAAATAATGATCTTTGTACGAAGAGAAACTTGGAAGAATCGTTCGGTTTCAGTAAGAACGAAGATCCGATGAGGGAAACACGCTAAGAACGGTTTCTTTTATCTGCGCGTTATCTTGCATGTGATTTTTGGTAAGAAGCGTGTGATCATTTGTAAAAAAAGTGCGAATACAATTGAAAAATTATGAAATATATGTGTGAAGAATAAGTGGTCAATAATTTCTGTTTGTTGGTCAGATACCAGTGATGTTATTTAAAACAGATAAGAGAGGGAGAGAGAGGGAAAGAAAGAAAAATGTGTGTATGCGTGTATGTGTATTGCCCTAATTGAATTAGTTAGCACGTCTGAAATTTGTCTAATTACAGATTATAAACTTAATATTTATTTTAAATTTATTTTAAACTAGTATCTTAAAATTTATATTTATGATCTCTTCAGTCTTTGTTAATTTTTTAAAATTATTGTTGTCATGTCACTAATAATTTTCCAGAAATAAGCAAATTTATTCGATTATTAGTTTGACATTTTATTTAAAGGAGATCAGTTTACATCTGGTTTTTCATGGATTCGATTTCATCACCCGCTGCAAATAAGCGGTTCACGACTTGCGCACTTTTCGATATACATCTGTTGGAAACGAGATTACGAGACGATCTGTGCGGAAGTAAACGCAAACGAAAATTTGTTACAAAACATAAATGGCTTTATCGCTTGATTTCTTCGCTGGATTCTTGGGAGGTGAAGTACATCATTTTACAACTAAAAATCGTTACTTGACATACGCTCTTTGCAACTATTTGTTATTGCGAAATGTTTCGCTGTTTGTATTGTTCTTGCGTTGGGCGAAAGTTATTTAAATTATTTTTCAATTTTCCTTTAATTACAACAGTCTCTTTAAACACACGATAACAAAATGATGAAATAACTTTGTCGCCAGTACGCGTAATTATCACAAATCGCCGCAGAGTTTATTACGCACTTTTATTACAAAACATACGTCACGTGAAATTTCCACAACTTAAACGTTCGCAGATAAGAGCTGAACTCTTACTCCGTGATGAATTACATGAAAGTTTTTACATATGAAAAAATATGATATAAACACAAAGTTCTTCATGAGACAATAGTAGTATTACGTACAATGAAATATATTTTATAAATCAGGATGCGCCGGTATTGTGGTGGGATATCCTTTGGACACGGTCAAGGTCCACATGCAGACACAGAACTGTCGCAATCCGAAATATCGGGGAACCTTGGATTGTTTCCGTTCCATACTTGCGAAGGAATCGGTATTGAGATTATACACAGAATTAAACAACATTAATTTCTAAATAGAACAGACAAAATCTAATTCCGCATGTTTTTGTTTAGGTGAGCGGTCTTTACAAAGGCATGTCCTCGCCGATCGCGGGGGTGGCTGTGGTGAACGCCATTGTCTTCGGCATCTACGGACATACTCAGCGGCACCTGTCCGAGCCCGATCGATTGTCGGCATGTTTTTTGGCGGGCGCGTCCGCCGGACTCGCTCAGACTCCCGTCTCGAGTCCGATCGAGTTGGCAAAGACGCGCATGCAGCTCATGCAATCATCGTCCCGGGATAACTCTCACGGACCGTTGCGATGCCTGAGAGACATCTACAAGCGGGAGGGTTATCGCGGTGTCTTTAGAGGACTGGGTGTCACGTTTCTCCGGGAAGGACCGAGTTACGGCGTCTACTTCGTAACCTATGAGATGCTGACGAAGACGTCGTCCTCGAAGCAGCCGATTTCGACGGTTCATATGTTGTTTGCCGGTGGTCTCGCCGGTAGCGCCTCCTGGATGATCTCCTATCCCGTCGACGTGATCAAGTCGCGCATACAGGCGGAGAGCAGCGGTCGTTACTCGGGAGCTCTGGATTGCCTGAAGAAATCCATACAGGCTGAAGGATACGGCTGTCTCTTCCGCGGTCTGAACTCGACGATTCTCCGAGCGTTTCCGACAAACGCCGCGACCTTCGCCGTGGTCACCTGGACGTTCCGGTTGTTCGGCGAGCAACCGAGCGCGACGCCGAAGGAGGAGCCTTCGATCGCGCTTACATCGGCGCAGCCGAGCAAACATCGCGCGACGAAAGGGTGCGAGATTACTTGTAATCTGCCGAGGGTACTTGCCTCGGAACTGGATAGTACTTGATCGATACTTGCTCATTTATGACGAAATTCTCTAGAATGTGATAAATTAGTGCAATCAAGTGTGATTAAAAAAAAAGAGAAACAATTTAAAAATAAATAATTAAATTTTATATTCGCCAAGTTTCTTTCTGTCGTGATCAACAGAGGGAATGCACATACTTGCGTAGTTGTGCAATTGTAGAGCAAAATATACGAAACATGGGTAGATATCTTGGTTAAACAATGCACTTATTTAAAAGCATTTGAGAGTTTAATACAGTAGAATACGAATTAAAGTCATGGCAAACACAAAAAATACGCGTATTTTAATATATATAATTCAATGTAATATTTTTATAAAAGAGTTAGGAACTAATTAAAAATATATATCTTAAAAAATACTCGAAATATTTTTATAATTAATATTTACATATTTAATAATAATTATTTTTTAATAAATGTCCTGCTAGTGGCACTTGTTCGGTCATTGGGTATTCGGTAAAATATATACAACATAGATCTATCTTCTGCTGTTTCGGTCGTGCGTAGCCTGTGTCGAAATTTAACCGACACATTGAAATTGGCTATGCTTCGCAAATTTTTATAATTTCCAATTTATGTTTTCTTCACATACACACACATTTAAATGAATTAACATGATAGATATTTGTATCAAACTCGCTGTATGAGACGAGAACGGAAGGATCTCTTTTGTCAAGTTAACAGTCTCCGATTGAACGGCGAACATGTAATGCCACATGTCACAGCCGGACGCGACAGATTTTTGTATTATATTCGCTTTTAAAATTGCACGAAATAGTTTGTGTATCCCTTGTGCAAATTCCCTTGTCGCTTTTTTTCCGATCTCCTTCGCCGCCCTTCCGCGGTTTCCTTCGGTCCGCGAATCCGGTTTACACTTTCTGCGTCCACGTGTCAAAATTTTGACACGTTCCAAATTCCAGCGCACATGAACACGGGACAACACGTATGTCACCTGCCGCCGAACGAACTCAGCAATTGATCGCGAACAAGATTCCATCCCAAGTTCTCGTCCCAAATCTAAAAATTCTCGAGTCGATAACTGCTGAAGTCAAATTATCGTTATCAAGATCAGCACGAGATCTCCGTCTAACCTTTTCGCGCGTCGCTAAATTTGCAGGAAACAATTTGTTCCCAATTGGTGAGTATACGAATAAAATATAAAAATTATTTAATTTTTTACAATTAATTGCGTGTGCAATCTCGAAAATTTTAATTGAACAAAATATTTAAACATTAAATATTATAAAGTGTAAAATATTTTTGTGAAACATAATTTAATTACATAGACACTTGTGTGTGTGACTCTTTTCATTCAATAATTTACTACAAATTTCTTTCTACTTCCCGCAATGTTGCTACTCTTGTAACTTGTGAAAGTAAATTACTCACAATCATTATTTTCTCTCTTTTGTAGATTCATTGAAAAAAAAATAGTTTTAATGTCGTGATTTCTCGTGTAAATCTCGTCGCGGGATTTCAAACGCACCCAGTCGTTCATTATTGATATGGATGCGGAGCCAAGCACCAGTAACCGAAAGCCCGAGAAATGCGACGTAAATAACAACCAGCGCTTGATAGCCGAAAGCGGCGGTCGGTGCATGAGCACTCAGGCGATGCAATCGCTCTACGATTTCCGACAAAATAATTTGCTGTGCGACGCGGTGTTGCGACTGGAGGACGGCGGTGTTTTTCCGATTCACCGAGCCATACTCTCAGCATGCAGTACTTATTTCAGGTTTAATTTTATCCAACGTCTCTTCTTCTTCCTGGATCACAAATTATTTTGGCGAATCATCTCGTTCCGATTTTTATTTTCCTTCGATTTTGTGCTCGATTAATTTCTGCAGAGCGTTGTTCACAACGACGCTGCATTCGCGCGAAAAGACCGACGTTCTTCTGCCGGGTGTGACAAGTCCAATAATGAATCTCTTGCTGGAATACGCGTATCTAAGATCCATCGACGTGAATCGTGAAAATGTGTGCGAATTGTTGACGACGGCCGATTACCTGAGCATTCTGGGCGTGCTCGACTTGTGCTGCGACTATCTGAGGGATAACTTGGCGCCGGAAAACTGCATCGGAGTGATGAGATTCGCTCGTCAGCATTTTTGCAAGAAGCTGGAAAACGACGCTTATCGTTACATTGTCGGACACTTCGTTGAGGTGCGGCAATATAACGATTTTCTCATCGCTGATTTCTTTGTCCAGTCTATTTTTTTAAAGTTATTTTCTCCGATTTACATCAGGTATCTCAGAGAAACGAGGAAATTCTGCACCTGCCCATCGAGAAACTGAAGCCGCTGGTCGGCGCCGACGAGTTGAATGTCAAAAGCGAGCAAACGGTGTGGGAACTGGTTCTGCGATGGATCAATCACGATCCGGAAAACAGAAAGGAACACATAGTCGATCTGATGAAGAACATCAGACTGGGTCTCTTGGACACGCAGTTTTTTCTGGAGAACGTCAAGGATCATCCGTACGTTGTGGGCAACGACGCCTGCAGACCGATCATAATCGAGACCCTGAAATTCCTGTACGATCTGGAAATGATCACGCAGAAAGACGGAGAGGTGCCGACGCCGGAGATCGCGCGGCCTAGAGTCCCGCACGAGATATTGTTTGCCATTGGTGGTTGGAGCGGCGGTTCCCCGACGAATTACATCGAGACGTACGACACGCGGGCGGATCGATGGATTCCGGTAGTATTTTAGAGCGTTTTCGGAGAAGGCGCGAATTATTGTCGCGTGTGTGATATTTTAACAGAATTTTACGAATTGTTTATGCGCGATCTCTCTTGAGTTCTCTAGATCAGCGAAACGGATCCGACTGGTCCGCGAGCTTATCACGGACTCGCGGTGGTTGGCTTCGACATCTACGTCATTGGGGGATTCGAAGGGGTCGATTACTTCAACAGCTGCCGTTGCTTCAACGCGGTGACCAAGGTGTGGCGAGAGGTTGCACCCATGAACGCCAGAAGGTCGAATATATTTCAAAGGGGCTAGTCACTGGTCCCCCGCTATTTGAATATAAATCTTGTAGTTCCACTTATATCAAGCAAATTTACGTGTAATAAATAAGTAATACATAAAAATACAAAACAGAGATATTAAAACAAAACGACGTTCAGTGACTAGCTCCTCGAAGGTGTAATTTAACAACGAAAGCTCGCATCAGGTTTTTTTCGTTTCTCGCAGATGTTACGTTAGCGTGGCGGTTTTGAACAACTTGGTCTACGCGATGGGTGGCTACGATGGCTACCACCGGCAGAAAACAGCGGAACGTTACAATTACAAAACGAATCAGTGGTCTCTCATCGCGCCGATGAACGTGCAGAGATCTGACGCCAGTGCGACTACTTTGAACGGTATTCTCAATTCGATACTTTGTTCGAAAAAAATCGCTTTTTTTAATTTTACAACGTGTATACAAATACATCACAATATAATCTAGTAAGTTTATCGATAAATAATTTCGTTTTACGTACAATACAACAGACAAAATATATATCACGGGAGGTTTCGACGGTCACGACTGCATGAACACGGCCGAGGTGTACGATCCGACCACTAATCAGTGGACTATGATAACCGCAATGAGGTCACGTAGGAGCGGCGTTTCGTGCATATCTTATCACGGCTGTGTTTACGTTATTGGTATTAAGACACACGTACTTATTAGTAAAAAAACATTACTCTGTCGCCTGCACAATCGTTCACGCTGTAATTTCACACGTTTGCCCGAACTTACAAATGGCGTATGTAAAAATTAGAATTGAATAGTTAAATTGAAAAAATTACAAAAATTAAATATTGCGACAAAGCTAATCAAAGTTTTCTAAAGGCGGCTTCAATGGAATATCGAGAATGTGCAGCGGAGAGAAATATAAACCTTCCACAAATACCTGGAGCAATATTCCCGATATGTACAATCCACGTAGCAACTTCGCCATCGAAGTCATCGACGACATGATCTTCGCGATTGGGGGCTTTAACGGTGTAACTACAACGTATCAGGTGGAATGTTACGACGAAAAGACAAACGAGTGGTAATCAAACCTTCGTGACAATCTGTGTTTTATATTCAACTGTACTATGCATTTATTTTTCCTGTAATTTATTTACAATTTTTACGTAAAAAAACATAGGTACGAAGCGACTGACATGAATATATGTAGATCAGCGCTATCAGCCTGCGTTATCACAGGTCTTCCGAACGTGTACGACTACATACACAAGCATCGCGAGCGACTGATGGAAGAAAAGCGTCAAAAGCTGCTGGCTCACGAAATACGTCGGACACAATATCAGCAGCAACAGGAGCAGGAGCAAATACGACAGAATTTACAAATAACTCAAGTTATAGGACCGCCACCGCCGCCGCCGCCGCCGCCGCCGCCTCTGCCACGAAACGAAACTGACACCAACAATAATCGCCGACGTTAAAGTCCACGTTTGATCATTAAATCGTTCACGCAACATTTGCCTTAATCGACCGGTGATGCAAATTTCGGATTATCGCAACCCACGGCCAGACGAGAGAAAACCACATTCTGTCTCCAATCAACACTGTCAAAGGGGCGATGTTAAATGATGTTCGACGTTTTCGTCTACCCATGAGTAGACTATTTTTTGACCGTCATTTACTTAGCTTTGTTAAATATTTTTTCATATGTCTATATAGAATCTTTTTGCGACAAGTTTACACGTATTATGTTATGTTCTGTGACATTATCTTGACTGACGTGAAAACACTTTTGATAAGTAAAATAAACCAGGATTTCTACACATATATTGGACTACCTGCGACTAATACGCGTATGTGTTTTTGCACATAAAAATGTATAAGAGAGACGACAAATGCTAAAATCGGGTAAAAGAAAAAAAATAAAAACGAAATTCTATTAAACAAAACTGGCATGATAAAACGTGATAAATTGCCTGTCTCGCAGTGTTCGCGTACTAATTTTTTAAATATGACACCGCATACGTGTAGCAAAATAAGAAACAAAATAAAATCGCAGTAATTCATACAAAAGTGATATGATTTTAATTGCAAATGCCAACTACATTATGAACTTAGCTACTAAGGCAGAGAATTACTTCTGGCCAAAAAAAGCTTAATTCATAATATTTCTCAACTTTATCTGATTACAATAAAGTTTCATAAAACATTTCTACCGAATTACTAGCTTTTTAAAAATATGGTTCGATAGTCAATAATTTACATGTATGCTATATTTTTTAATCTGATAGCACATGTGACATGAAGTATAGATTTTTATCCATAGTACATGCCACTAATATGGCGTACCAACCACACAATGCGTCAGGTGCATCTGTAACTTGGTAACAAAAATAAAATCTCTATTTTGCAAGAAGTGTACGTAGAGGGTATACTTCTCTCCGTCTTCTCTCTGCTTCCATTCAAACGCGCCATCTGAGATTCACAGACCGGTTAGACTGAAATTCCCAGATGTTTTCTGCCTAGCGTTTAGCCAGAGAGAAGACTCTTTTCTCTGGTTCAGCTGATTCGTTCGGTTCTGCTCCAGTCGTGCGCGTGACGCAGCTCATGTGAGCTCGTTCACAAGCGAGTGTTTATAGAAAGCGTGTAATGTCTCCTCTGTACGTGCTACAAAAAATTGAGTCATCGAGAACATACACGTCGCTTTAAAAAATGATGAATCACCAGTGTTGTCAAGTCGTTCCGCAATTAAATTTTGTTGAATAATTGAGAGCTCGTGTTCGTGTACGCGATGTTAGTAATCTTCGTCGAGCCGGCTGTGTCTCGTCTGAGTTGGCGAGCGTGCGTGTGGTGAGACGTGTGTGTATTCCGTGTAGCGAACGTATGGGGACTTGTAATCGCGCTAAGTGGTCGAGTGCGTGAGAAGTCAGCAGGGCCGAAGAAACCTCGGGTGGTGCTCCGAAACGCGACTGTCGACGTCACAATGGTGAGCTGAGGCGATCAACACGGGCAATGGCAAAACTCGCGAGAGGATTGGACTCGGTGGTGCCCATGCTTCTGGTGTGCGAGCATTGCACTAGTCAGACATTCAAACAGATCCAAGACTTCGTTAGGTGGGTCCATCTGTCCAACGTCCGTCGGTCGCTCCGTTTTGTTTTCCTGCGATTTACTCGCGATAATAGCATACTCTCTCGCAAATTCTCGTTTGACATGTCGCGGACGGTCTCGTAATTGTTTGTCGTTCTGTTATTGTTATTTCTTACACGGACATTTGCAGAGTGACATTTCAACTATCGAGTTAATTGGCGTAATTGCACGTGACATACTCTAATTATGCAATTTATTCCAGGCATTTGAGAGACCAACATTGCTCCAGAGAAGGCGGGTCTTTCGTATGCCTCTATGGCTATAATGGAGTTTGCTCCAGTCTTCCCGTGGAGGGTGTCTCCGACAAGGATTACATAGCGCATGCCACCAAGCACGCAGCTATGCAACAGCAACGAAAGAGCAACGGCCAGTTAGTTGAGTCCGGATCGCCGTGGACCGTGTATTCCGCCGCGCAGAATCTACCCGCTGTTCTGAATGACCCGTTTAAGGGAAAGCAGAGCAACTTCTTCACTCGCACCTGGGGAGACGGATTCGTGGAGAAAGTCGACATCCCGAAGAGTCCCTATCTCCCCGAGATCACGATGCAGCATTTCGAAATGTATCTGAAAAAAATTGCAAGGGTAAATCGCACTCTTAATAGAATTACGCGATTTTTGTTGAAACCGGCGATTTTCTGTGTTTATTTATTGCGTGTGATAATTAATATTTGATTCTTTCGTGTTTTCACACAGAGATATAGGAAACATTCGCGGATGAACTCGAACGCAAACAGACCGACTACTCCGAACGAGCTGCTCCAAAATTTTCCAAATCTTAGGAATGTGAAATCTCTAGGTGAGATTCCGTAACATATTGTTTACGAAATTAAATAATATTATACGTTGTGTAACGTGAATTTTGTCTCACAGATCGGCTGCAATCGGATTTAGCTAGTGTTCCAAAGGTCTTTTTAGTACCGAATTTAGATCTTTCGCAAAAAGAGAATTTTAACGCTGTCTTTCCTTTTGCAAAAGACGGTCTGTTAACCGAGAAAAGCACCATTGTTATGCACGTGAAGCAAATGCAGGAAAAGGTACGTGTGATCGCAACAGAAGCAAGCAGACTCAAACATATACTTTGCGCTATTTATATTTTTTCTCAATATTTTGTTATTTCACGTTAGTTGTATTGATGTATAAAAATTTATTTATAGAAGTAAAAATTAATTTTCTCAAAGTCCTAGTGTTTTAACTTTGCAACAGCTTAGTCACTATTTGGACGTTATTGAGGTCCGAATAGCGGAACAGGTCGCATCGAAATCTCAGGCCTTTTTCCACGCAATGACGTCTCACGACGCGCTCATGGAACAACTCACTCAAACCATTACGGTTCTAAAAGCGCTCAGGAAAAATATTCATCAAGTCGATAAGCATCTAGTCAAAAATTCTTTAGAAATTTTACGGTAAGTGTGTACAGGATATATAAAGTAAATACGAGTTTTTCCGAAAAAGTGATTTTTTCGACGATATTCTATAAATAAAAGTGTTGTTTGATTTGCGATTTGTAAAAATTGTCTGATCGATATTTGTTCTCATTTAGCTTGGAGCGCGCTCGGTCTAATAGATTACTGGTTCAAGAGAAATTGAAACTCATGGCGACTGTGCACCAAAGTCAACCCATGATACAGTTACTGTTGTCCACGCCAGATTATGTCGCGGCACTGGATCTTATCTCCACGACGCAAGAAATTCTCTTGCAAGAATTAAATGGAATACACAGCTTTAGGTGAATCATTGAGCAATTTTGACGATTTTTGCTTTTCCAATAAGAAATTAACGAATTAATGAAATGTACAATTGCTGTGTATTGTCGGCTTTTAGACATTTGAGTTCTCAATTAACCGAAATGGAGAAACTCGTGGACAAAATGTTGACGACCGAGTTCCAGAGATATGCGACGGCGGATCTCAACAGGCCGTTAGGCGGCGAGAACACGGTGTTAGACGGCGTAAGTACACGGACACAATTCTTACTCGCAAAAATCGTATTTCCCTGGTAGTTTCGTAGCAAACGAATCTTCATACATCTCTTCCTAGTGAAGATCACATTTGTACGTCCTCAACGAACAGGATAAACTGGTTTCCATCATTTCTGGCCTGCTGCGTCAGAAGCACTTTCAATTCGTGGACACGTACAAAGAAGAAGCCGTGACCACTATAAGGGCGGTGACGAAGCAACGGGTGATAGAAGCCTTGGCAGCGAGCGACTGTTGCAGCGATCAGCAAGCAGCCGCTCTCGAGGTCGGAGGCCTCTCTCTCACGGAAAGACTTACGTTACTCCACAATACCATACAGTCATTGACGTTCCTTTTGTTACGAGTTAAGGTACGTGACATGAGAAATATTTCATCTTATGTTTCGTGTGTTTTTAAATTTGCTTTTTTTCTTTAATTTTTCTTTGGCGTTTTAATCTCTGCAAAATATTGTCCCAATAAGCAGATATTTAATAAAGAAATAATTATTGATAAATATTAGACAACAATTCTCAATGTTTTAAGTATTTTTATTTTTAATTATTAGATTTTAAACTTTAGAAGTAGTTTGTTCGATAATTATTTTTTAATAAACGTTCGAAATAATTCGATTATTAGAAGATTTTGATAGAGATCTGTAAACATGTAACAGCCAAATGTACTTTCATTAGGCAGTTCACGACGTGATGAGAGACACCGCGGACTTGTCGGCGGAACGTTTATGCGACGGCTCGTTCGACGAATCTGTACCTGATCGATTACTAACTCAAGATGAGCACACGCGAGTAATCACCAAACTCACTGATATGATTACATCTGTGTGTGATTATTGCCACGAGCGAATGGGGAATCTGCTTTCAGCAGGAACAAATGAGAAGGACAAATTTCACAACGATAAGGACAAGATCGTTGCTGATGTTTCTCAAGGTAAATCGGATGATAAAGAGAGCCAAGCGTGGAACGACAAGGGCTCCTGGTTGAGCGAGAGAGCAACGACGACTCAAGTTTGTCAATTGGCCAACATGGTTGAAGAATTCACACACACCTGCGAGAAGCTCTGTGGCAAACAGTGCACCGGATTGCGATCAGCGTTTAAGGTATTTACGACAACTCTTTTATTCGTGTAAAATTAATTTTTCTTAATTTTTTGTTTTATCACAATATCCGTAACGTTTTTTACAGGCGCAAGCGAGCAAATTCGTACAGCGCTTTCACAATGAACGCAAAACCAAGCTTACGCTGCTTCTGGATTCCGAAAGGTGGAAACAAGCTGACGTGCCGTCGGAATTTCAGTCGCTGGTAACGTATGTGTACGAGAACAAGCATTTTCCGTTGAAAATACTTACGCGCGAGGACAGCACGAAGAGCGAGAACGTCGAGAATTTTATCATGGTCGGTGACGAGAAGTTCGCCGTGGTCGGAACTGCTCTAATGCTCATACAGATGATTCACGAGTATTGCCGGTAATGAGATCAAATAAATTACAATAAAAATATTATATTTAATAAATATCAAATAAATGACCATTGAAGATAAACGCAAGATCTTGAAAAGTTTTTGTACGTAGAGAGTAACGTGTGAAATTCTTTTACAGAACCGGTAGCGAATTAGTTGCCTTGTCCGGAACAATAGGAAGACAACTGGCCGAATTGTTGAGGCATTACAACTCCCGATGTTGTCAGCTGGTTTTGGGCGCGGGCGCGAGGCAAGTTGCTGGCTTGAAAACTATCACAGTCACGATTCTGGTGTTGGCGGCGCGCAGTCTCAAGCTCGTATTGTGGTTCATGCCTTTCGTGAAGGCGCATTTCCAAGGTAATTTTTTTTTTTTACAAGGAAAAATGCCTTATGCACGCCCTACTCCCCGGAAAGAGAGCAGCAGAGTGTGGGACTTGCATCTACTAAAATCCCTTGATGACTTGCCTTAAAGGTCAAACTTGCCCTGTGATGAGAAGAAGAACCACAACTCCTTCTCATGTATATGGGGCCACGTGCAATGAGGAGGCGCGAGTCCCCGCTCGCATCCTCTCTTATGGCTCCGGCGTCAAACGCCGAAACGAACGCTTCCTCTCAAATTTCCGCGACACCCAGCCCGAAGGCCGGATGATAAATATTTACGTATCGTGTTAATTTGAGAAACTTTTTTGTGCGCAGCGCTCACGGAACAAAATCCTAGCAGAGGACTCATCGGCACGTCCGGTATAAGCGGAGGAGTGGCCTTGCTGGACAGCGTCGAGAGGGACATTCGTGCGCACGTGCGCGAGATCGAAGGAAAGGTTCTCACTATCGTGGACAATCTGCTGAGTGGACAGATATCCAAATGGAGTGCGAGGCCTCCGGTACCCTCTAAATCAATCAGAAATATTTCCAGGTGAGTGAGACGACACAATAACAGCGAAATTTACGATTTCCCAGCGTTCGTTTGACGTAAAATTCGTCGTTTACGCGCGCAGTTATCTGATGAAGCTTCACGAAGTCGTTTCCGGAATTCTGCCCACCGTTGAAGTGCAATCTCTTTATCGCACGGTAAACTCGTCCTTCAAAGAGAAGCTCAGGGAGCAACTGGTCAAGATGAACATAGTGAACAACGGTGGCCCGCAGCACGGCGTGGTCACGTCGGAACTTACGTTTTATCTCGAAGCCTTGAGAAAGCTAAAGGTTCTGCCGAGCGAGGAGTTAAACGACAATTGGATGAGCGACATATGGACTAGATAACATGCAGAGTGCGTGATATACTGCATTATAGAAGCGATGAAGTATTCTAGAAACAGGTGACTAATCTCTCTTTCTTTCATTTGTCTTCCGTTTGTATCGCTCGTTATATTGCGAGTTGTAAGATCTGCGAGGTACCAAAGTTCGTCGATCGTTTGATGGATGCGCGAACGTGTGCAATATATTTTATGATTTTTACGAGTTTTATGAAAACGTGCGAGTTTTTAAGTACAAATAATAAAAAATTATTTAAGACTTATTCTGCTTTCTCTCCTTTTTTTCTCAAATAAAGAAATGAAGAAAAAAATGTTATATTTAATCTGTCGAATCTTGAGAACGATATACGGCCGAACGTTGCATCGTATACAGAAAAAAATAATCGTTTATGAAGGGACAGATACAAGAATCGCATAACAATTGCAGAACACATAAAAAATATCATTTAAGAAAAATTATACCGAGATAGCAAAAACTAGGAAAGAATAAAGATCTCTATAAATATGCATCCCGTAGTCTTTTACGTCTAGCGAGAGCAATTACTTTAGTAAAGTGTTACTATTCTGATTTAGAGTAAATACAAATGTATGAGCTTTTGCGATATTTCGGGAAATAAGTTTTTATTGAATATCAAAATGATCGCGATACTTAAAGCTGTTAATTTCGTTAATAAACTCACGCCAATTCGGTGCCTCATGAGATGGAATATAGTTGAAATTGTTCAATATTGTCGTTTGCAGATATTTTGATGCGTCGCGCTGTTGTAGCAGGACCAATCGTCGACATACTTGTTTTTTTTTTTTTTTTTGTAATAATTATGTTTAATATCCTTCAACTTAAAGTTTCACGTGTCATTTTAAAAAACATTGTTTTTGCAAAAGAGCTATCGAGATATGAATTTGTATTGAACTGAATTCTGTGACAGAACAACAAATGCGACTGCTTGGATTGTTGTGTTCATTGTGCGTGTTCGAAGGAACTATTTATAACAAAAATGTATATCATCGCTTTGTTGTAAATTCTCATAAACAATACATGTAATATATTATTTTTTAGTAATTGGAAGATAATACAAGTTTTGCATAGAAAATGATATTTATTAGAATTATGTGCGACATGTAATAGTCTTGCAATTGCGGAAAAAAACTCAGTCTCTAACGCGGTATATTCTGAAAAAATATGTACGTGCATTGCTTTAGCAAGAGTTGAGTGACTTATTGCAAATTGAAATCTGTGCATTCCATTCCTGGAGACTTTTCATCTAGTCCAAGTTGTACATAATGTACTGAATTTTATTCAAGGAAGATAGATACATTAAAAACCGATCGACTTAATTCATGAAAAAGTGTCGATATGTACGTGTGTATGTGTGTGTATGTGTGTGCGCTACGCGTTATGATCTGACGACTTGCACCACTTTGCTTCGTGTGAAAAAAACATTTTTTTTACATCGTGAGAAAATGAAAGTGTTCAGAGCTGCTGATTATTGCAAAGGATATCTTATCGTGAATATCTTTATCAAGACTGATGACCCCTTCTCGTTAGATCATCGCGTATATACAAATAAAATAACATTGCGTAGACAAAAACACGCGCGATTAGAGTAGTTAAATAAATTATTATATATCTTGTACCGCGTCTCTCGCATAATTTATGTGACAAACGTCAACATATATAGAACGTTACAAGGCGACACGAAGAAAATATATTATTATTTATTGAAATAAAAAAACATCCTCAAACGCCTATTGAATTTCGCAATTCAAGACTGGACATCAAGATTGTCGCAAAACGAAAAATCTTAATTATCTATCACACCGGTCTCTAAATAATACACAGATAATATTTTTCGAGAAGTACTCGAAAATGCGTACCGCTGATTGTATTGTGTAATTATTAATAATCCATATAGTGGTTTTTTTTTTTTATATGCAATACAACGCGGCACGAACAATATAATGAATAGTATACGAACGAGATGTTTCCTCACTTCCATAGTAACGAAAAGCAAAACATAGCCATAACCTGAAGAAACATAAAATTGTGTGCGCGAACGCACGATTGCAAATCATTCGACCACATACTCTTCGCTGCGTCTCAGTGACAATGTCTGCGGAAAATCGGTGAATTGCTGTGTATACAATCACTTTGTTAGCTTTGTAACAAACGAATTGTATCATACTATATAACACACATTAGAAACGATCATACCAAGCCTTGTGACAACAAATTGCGAGTAATCTTTGTAAAGATATTTTTATCGTTAAGTGTCGCGTTGCTTTCGCAAGTGACAGATGAGTGATTTAAAAAATAAAGGGGAGAGGAAAACACATATATACACGGTTGTTTAATAAAGATCTAAGTTAATTAAATTAGCTTCACTTGTCTCTTAATTTGCCGCACCTGTGTGTTGTTTTTTTTTTAGAAGCGTAGTCGAGTCGCGCTCGTAGTTGCAATTTAAACTTTTACAGCGAGGAATCTATGCGAGAAATCGCGTTACGACTCGCGACCGAAGAAGAGAACAAGCGAAAGACTGATCAGAATGAGACTCACGAACGTTCCATTATCATCCTCGGCAGCAAGGGAGTTGTAAGTGATGAGATTAGCAGCGTGCCGCGTTTTCGCGACGTACTTTGCATTTCACCGTTACGTTTCTAGGGTAAGACAACAATGCTGTATCGATTCCTCGAAAAAGATGAAAGAGCGAAACCGACTGTAGCGATGGATTATTCGTTCGGTCGCAAAACAGTGAAGAGTTTAGTAAGTGCAACACGTGTTTAAAAAATCATAAGAGTAACGACTCTGTAAAGTTTAAAAAATAAATCCAGAAATTATTTAAAGTAATTAATTTTTTATAAAATTAAGTCAAATTTTTTAATGCCGCGTAGGTGAAAAACGTAGCGCATGTATGGGAGGTGGGACACTTGACGTCTTCTTTGGTATCCGTCGCGATGACGGGATCGACGTTAACGCATTCGGTTCATCACACAGTATTGCTGATGATGCTGGATTTATCGCGACCAGAAGAATTGTGGACCTCCTTCGAGGAGAGTCTCTCGGTGATGCGAATCGGTTTGAAAATGAGTTACGATCTCGATACGATTAAGGAATTGGGAGAAAAAAGAATAGCGGAGCGGAAAAAGGAGATAGAACGCGGAGTCGATCCTTTCCCGATGAAGCTGTGCATCATAGGCGGGCGATACGACGAATTCAAGGTATTCTCATTAACATTTTTCAGTTTTAAGTTTAATATCAAATGTGATTTGCGAATCTCTTTTTTTTCATAAAACAAATAAATAAGGTTCGATTTGTCTCAAATATACATTTTGAAATAGGACATTTTAAAGAAACATTTATTATATAAATTTCACGCGTTCTTCTCTCTGTGATACACTTTGAAGAACAAATATGTTTCAAAACTTCATTTCCGTTCACTTTCCGCAACAGGAGTTTGACTCGAGCAAAAAGGAATTTGTCGGCAAGATATTGAGAGCGGCAGCTCACAACTTGGGCGCGAGTCTGTATTATTACTCGTCTAAAGATAAGTTTCTCATACGACGGCTCAAAGATTTATTATCTCATCACGGATTTGGTTCTCCGCTTGCGTAAGTCTCTCGAACGAAACTTCGCTACGTATTCGAGTTGCATTTATCAAACTCCCATCTTATAAATTTTAACGTCTAAACTAAGTAAGATATGTAACAACTCGCGTGTTTTCGTATGTGTCGTAAATAAAAAAAGGGAGGAAAAGTGCACGGATTACGAGAAACCGTTGGTGGTCGCGGCCGGCGCGGATTCATACGGACGGATCGATTTGCAATTTCCGCAAATGAGACCATCGGCAATTTTAGACACCATCAAGCAGATCTACGTTTCCCGAATACCGCAGGCGTCGAAGAACGATGAGAGCACTTTGGAGGATCCTAGCAACGATCCTAATTTTAACGAGCCCGTTATCGACAGGCTAAGAATACAGCGGGAGGAGGTGCGCACACGTGTCTTATTTGTTATCTTCTCGCTTGAAGATCGGATCGGTGAAAAATATTAGTTTGTTTAGGAGATTAATTTCAAGCACATTTATGTATGAAAACTAAATATTGAGTTTTTCTCTTTTTTTTTTTAGGAAATCAGCATACTGCTGAGCGACATGATGGAAGGTCGCATGCCGAAAATTCCTGTGCCCGATCCAATTTAAAAATTCATTTCCTTTTCACTGTTGAATAAAATAATAAGAAATTATAGTTGACGTTTATCATGTGATAATTACATTTTGATAATAAAACTTTTTCAAACACGATGAAAAACTAGTTTAAACGTTTATTTTTCCGACACTTTCTCCGCATCTCACAAGTCTGCATTATTTGCCTCTATAATCATTGTAAAGATAAGAGCCCGTTATTTCTTGCAAGCAAGGTAACTGATAAGGAAAGACTTAATGGGGATTTCTTATATAGACGGTGTAAGCGATATGAAATTTTTATTCTGTAACGCGTGTGATATTCGCTGTTGTAGTTTGCAATATTTGTCACGCAAGTTTCTCTTAATTATTTGCAGCAAGAGATAAAGAAATTATATATTAAAATGCATCTCAGTGAGACTTTTTTAATGTTAAAACATCTCATTATTTCGAGAGATTACATCACAAAGATCGAAATCTCATAGAAATCAAGTTTGTGTTTCACATGTGCACTTTTCTCTCAAGCATCTCTTCAAACACCCCTTTTCTCCCACTGCACCAAGAGATTATCTCACGAGACAATGAACTCGTTTACAACTTAGGGTAATTTCGACACCGTGTCCGCTCCTGTTTGGCGCTCTTCACCGCCCCCGAAGAAGAACCCCGTCTCTTTTTCTCTCCCACGCAGCGAAAGGGTGGTTGTAGTAGGGGGAAACAAAATGCACCACCCCGCACTCCGGCGACGTAAGGCCTCTCACGCTGATAAGAGGAGCTGCGCGCAGTCACCGTGAATGGTGGCGCATGCGTGCGACCGATCCGCGCCGCTCCCGATACGCGCAGAGTCCGAGCGTTTACGAAAACGGGTCTCCCGCTTGGGGGGGTATCGGCGAAGAGCCTCTCGCTTCCTCGCCGCGACGTTTCCTCAGTGAAAATGCCGCCGCGATAGAGAGCCGCGCGTGCCCGTGTGCTCTCCTCGGGCTCTCGTCGCGCCCCCGTGACAGGAAGAGTCGGCTCCGTCTTACTGAGAAAACGCTTTCGCGAGAAGACGCGGACTACGTCCACGGCTCGGTTTTCGCTCGTCTGAATATCGCTCGTTTTCTTCGCACCGTTTCCTTTTTCCGTTCGCCGCCTTTCTTACTCCTTCTCCCGGTTCTTCTTCTCCAGTCCTTATCACCACCCGCTTTCTCTCCACTTCCTCTCCATCTCTCCCCTCTTCCTTTCATTTGCACGATTTGACAGTCCGCGAGTGCCACCGAATCATAGTCGGCGCTCTCGTGGATTTTGGACGTCGCTTCCGGAGAACGGTGCCGTCAGGCGCGCACAGGTGCACGCAGGTGAGTCGCGAGAAATGAATGAGCGATTCGAAGAATCATGACGGAGAAATCATGACGGCTCGAACGATCATGAATCGAAAGAAACCGGTCACGAATCGCGACTTGTCGAAGCTCGTTTCGGTGAAAACTAGAGCGATTTGCGGCGAATGTGCGCGCGCGCGCACACACGCCTGGTTTACGTCGCGCGACCCATTTACCTGTGACGTGCATCGCGATCGGCTTGTTCGCATCTTGCTGCTCCCCGCGGCGCGGTCTTGCCTTTCTCGCCGTTATCGATTCCGGTATGAGCGCGCCCTCCGCGGACAGGTATCTCTCCGCCGTCTGTCGCACTTTCAGCGCGAATCTCGAATCTCGCGTGCACCGATCGAGTGCACCGAATCGGTGTCATCCACGCGCGCACGCGGGATTTACGCAACACGCGCGTCGGCCACGCGCGAGATTTGGCTCGACCGACCTCGTTGCGTCTCGAGCACCGGCTTTATTTTCCTCGCAATTCCTCCGCGCGTGTTTCATTTTCGATCGAAGAAACTAGAGAAACTAAAATAAAGAAATTTAACATATAAGGATTTCTTCGATGTTGCGACCTGAAACAAAGTTTACTCAATTGTTTGATTACAAAAACATTTACTCTCGTTTTAATTAAAAATTAAAATCGTTGCGTTACACACGCGTCTGATAATGATTTTTTCGAGTGGCTATACATGTGTGTACGAGGCGTTACATCATTCTGGCGTTAAATCGAACGCGTCGTATGTCGCATCCTTAATTTTTAATTTTTCTTACCAAGGTTTATTGATCGCGCCGCTCTCGATTGAGTTTCCGAGAAACCTATTCACATGAGGGACGGGACTTAATTCAAGGATTTCTGTGCGATCTCCTTCCATCATGCTTTTATTTTAAGAAGCTTGCGCGCATCAATAACTACTATTATTACACAGTCGGTTACATTTGTGACGAGTCTCTGTGATAAATTTAAAAAATTCGCATTCAAGAAGCGTTCTATCTTCGACTCATGTCTTACGTTCATTTGATTGAATTCTTCGCAAATTCTTGCTTGCTCGACTAACGCGCGAAATCGTCTCTCGCTTTGTACCTATTTTTGCAACCGTAAGCACACACACAGTTTTGATGTGGTAGACGTCGTTTCCGGTAACGAGTCAGTTTCGCGATGTGGCGTGTGTGTATGCGCGCGCCCAGAGGAGGTATAAAAATATAACTGTTCCTTGACCGTAAGCGGACGCCTTTACGTGCTCACGAGATCACGTAGGACCGGATATTGCGTGTTTGTCCTCGCCACGATTTTGGACGCAGCGCGGGGACAGTCACCTCTTTGTGATCACGCGATCCCTCCTCGTTCTTTCTTTCGGCACCGATATGCTCGCACGCGGACGCGTGTTCTTCATTAATTATTTCGAACAATAGGTCTCGATCGATTCGCGGGATTGTTTTAAAACTCCAGCGCCGGTATCTCAAAAGGTACAGGCGAGCAGCAGAGACTGGAAAATGACAACCTATATTATATATGTATATATAAGACGGTTACAATCTCATTACGCTTGAGACAGTCAGTAATTAAATATATCGTCGGTAATTAAATGTAATAGAATTTATAAATTAGTTAATTATTAACTTCACTAAAACATGCAAAAGTTATATGCTGAAGGTATATTTTGCTTCGATAACTTTGGTTAATTTTGAATGAAGACAAGAGAAGCTGGTTTGGTTTAACCCTTTTATATAGATTGTAATTTTATACGCGATAGAGGGAGGAAACGAAGTTACCCAATTATCGCTAATAGATAGTTTAACATGATCGAAGATTAAATAACAAGACAATAATTTGATGTGACTATATCCGTTTCCCTTTATGGTTTTCGAGACAAATTGGTTTTTTCGTATTTCACATTTTTTTAAGTTTTACAAGATATCAAACTATTCAGACGCTGAAAAGTATTTCAAACATTTTTAAAATATCTCAAAAATTCCAGGCTAACTGCATCAATAATTGCGTCACAAATAATAATCTAAGGAAAAATCTGCAAATCATACAAGAAAAAAATCCACTTTCAGCACGCCGTTAAGAGATATGCCTCTTTAATTATGAAAATCACCGCCAACTACTACACGTAGTTTCTCTCGGTTGTGCGTCATTGTCCAACACGAATATAGTTTTGTGTGGCAGGCCGAGGTCGTCTCTAATGCCGCATTTTCCGTATAGTTCGCGGTTAACCTTTCAAACTGGATTCGCTGGCAAAAACGAAATTCAATGAATTGTCGAGCACACACAGATCGTGTCGCGAACATGCGATAGCACTCAACAATCTCAATCGTCTCTCTTCTTGCACGGAGAATATTATCAACACGCTTTGCAGTTGGAACGAGCTCGCGAATAATTACGATATGATTCTTGAACCCGCACTTTTTTGCGATCTTCTCAGTCGCAACTTTTCCTCCTCTGTCTAAACACCGAGACATTTTTTTTTCTCGGCCGCAAAACTTTATGATCTTGTCGACCTTGATCTCGCCGGGTGGCTCCGCAGTAGGTGCACTTTTAATTTCTCTCTGAAAGCGGATCTTGCACAAAGAGACTTCTTTCAGCTTCCGTACGTTCTCAAGTACGTCGGAAATTTCAAAACGGTTTTCGCCCGCGTTGTAATTTATATGTTAATAGTTAGAAGCTCGTTTACCACAAATGTTCGCGAAACATATGTATTCAGCTCACAATGAAATCGTCGCGTTTTTTACGCGACGACGACGACGAGTCGATGCAAATTTTCCCGTTGCATAAAACTTCGTTAAGTAAGTTGTAAAATTGCGTTGCCCGCGACGTTGCACCGTCAAAACAGACCTCGCGCGTTTTCTCCTCGAGCTTTGTTGTCCTCGTTCCTCTTGCGCGCAGGATCCCGGATGTCGAATTGCCGGAGAATTGCGCCTCGAGTGTGACGTCACGAATCGCCCGCACGTATGTACATATCGTGGCGGGAATCATTTCGGCTCGACTCTTGGCGAGACTATCGATCGCCGGTTTGTACGCGCGCCGGTGCGACGATGAGCATGCAAACGGCGCCCATGTGTGCGGGACAAAGTCAAACAAACGCGAGAATGCGTCGCACACTAAAAGCAGCACGGAGGGGAAAATTGTGGATACGTACCTGGCGGGACCAGGCCACCAGGTCGCACGCCAATGCGGTATTTGTCTGGACATCGGTTTCTTTCGCGGTGTTCCGGGCGGCTATTATTAAGCTTTTCCATGTAATGAATAATAGCGCTCTCTCTCTCGGTAATGTTGAAATATTTCTGCCTGACCACATACACAATCTACACACACACACAATAATTTCCGGAATAAAAGAGAAAAATGCAAGTTTTAATGCACTATCACATGCGACTGGCGTAAAACACAGAAAAAACGTCATTTGATGACACACAAAGAAGGAGGTTTTTATATTCAAAGCCTTGAACTGGAAAGATTGATATCAACCGTTACTTTTGCAAATCTGAGAGAAAGAGGGCGGGAGAGGACTACTTCATCGCGAAATTTAGGACACCGGAGAGTAACGACTAAGTTTTTCTGACGTTATTTCCGTGACGTACACGACGCCGTAGATAATAGCACTGTGTAAGGTAGCATTGATTTCGTGATTACACGTGCGCGCACACACACACACAAAGTATTTTTGCACTTTGCGATTTTCTAGGACAAGTACATCAGCAATAATAGATGAGCGATGGTAAATCGGTCTCATTATCAACGCG